CAGAAATGGTAGCCTCTGGAAGCATTACTTCTGGGAGGAGATCAGACAAATAAAATCCATGGTAACAAAAAGAAGAAACAAACAGCGAAAGTAAAAAAATAAGACATGCCACCCTTTGTCCCTGCCTCTGCTACCATCATCGATTAAAGAAACTGCCCTTCTCTAACTGAAGAAGAGGGCACCTTTGACCTAGAAACCCATCTAGAAAATGTCTATTATTTTATAAAGGAAGGAAGGCAGAGAGGCATGGAGGGAAGGGAAAGAAAAAAGGATTGAGAGAAAGAGAAAGAGAGAGGGGAGAGAGAATATGAATAATCCCCATATAAAGTCACTGTAAAAAGTAATAAAAACATGGAAATCAAAATTTTCAATAGATAAAAATTATCTTCCCAAAACCAACCATAAAGGACGCATCTGGATGAATAACAAAAAGAAAACCTAGAATCAGCTATTCAAAAAGGAAAAACAAATGAAAGAAAAAATATTTCAGAAATCAAGAACAAATTATAAGGTGTTCAAAAAAATGTAAATTTGAATGAAAATAAAAATTAGTCAAAAACAACCAACTTCAAGAAGTACCCTAGTTTAAAAAAAAAAAAAAAGGGACAATAAAAAATGGCAACACCTCAAACAAAAAGTAATACATTCTCTACAAGGGTAAAAAAATAAGGCTGATATCAGAGATATCCACAGAATATTTTTTCATAAAGTCACTAAAGAGACTGTAAGCCAAGCATTTCATGTCTAATCAACATGTCATTCAAGTGACAAGGCCACAGAAAAATAGCTTGGAATGTGCAAGATCTCAGGGAATACTGGACACAGGGGTCTTTCCTGAGGAATACATTAGTACAGTGGTCGGCAAACCCATTAGTTAACAGAGTGGCAAACCATGGCTCATGAGCCACATGTGGCACTAATGTATTCCTCAGGAAAGATCCCATTTTGCAATTTATCAGGCAAGAATCATCAGTAGATGATGGGCACTTAACTTCACAGACTCTGTCTAGAACTTTAAACAGACCTGGGCTTTAAGAGTAGTAAAGTTTGTGAAGAGAAAAATAACAAGGTACTGTGCAATCTATTATAAGTATATTAGAGACCCAGTGCACAAAATTCATGCACGGGAAGGGGGGTGTCCCTCAGCCCCAGCCTGTACCCTCTCCAATCTGGGACCCTTCGAGAGATAACCGAGTGCCTGTTTAGGCCCAATCCCGGACATCCCTCTCACAATCCAGGACTGTTGGCTCCCAACTGCTCGCCAGCCTGCCTTCCTGATTGCCCCTAACCACTTCTGCCTGCCAGCCTGATCACCCCTAACCACTCCTCTGCCAGTGTGATTGATGCCTAATGCTCCCTTGCCAGCCTGTTTGCCCCCAACTTCCCTCCTCTACTGGACTGGTCACCCCTAACTGCCCTCCCCTGCAGGGTTGATCACCCCCAACTGCCCTCCCTTGCAGGCCTGGTCCCTCCCAACTGCCCTCTCCTGCTGGCCATCTTGTGTCCACATGGGAGCAGGATCTTTGACCACGTGAGGGCAGCCATCTTGTGTGCTGGAGTGATGGTCAATCTGCATATTATTCTTTTATTAGATAGGACTAGTGACCTGGCACGTAAAATCGCATGGCCCTGCCCACCTGCACATGCCCTGCCCACCCACCCACCATCCCACCTTGACACCCTAACCTCTCCACCCAGAGCTCGAGCGTGCCTGGCCTGCCCTTGACCTCTCTGGCCTTCTTCTCTGGCTGCTTCAAGCCCTGCCCTCAGTCCCGCGAGTCGCTTCAGGCTGGTCCCACCTCCTACAGGTGCATCCCTGCTTCCACCCGGTCTCCAGAGCAATGTGGCAGCTCTACCCCATCATGGCACCAGAGGAGAGTGTGGAAGCCTCCTGCCTGCAGTGGAGTTTCGAGCGCTGCTTCCTGGTGGCACATGCACTGTGCTCCTTCCCCTAGTAGGTGGGCAGCAGGCGGGCTAAGTGCGAGCAGTGGGTGGTGAAGGACTAGTGAGGGGGCACTACAGGCTCTCACCCCCGCCCTCCCCACCATGAGATGGTCCTGCCTCCTCTGGATACCTCCCCGCTTCCACCCCATCTCCGGAACAACACAGCAACTCTGCCCCACCATGCATGCAGCCTCCTGCTGAACGGTCTTTATGGTGTGAGGGCCTCATGACCATCAGCATATTAGCTCTTTATTATATAGGATTAAGCTAAGAATAACATGCTAGACAGCTCCTAAGAAAAGTAGGCAACATAGAAAAAAAGGAACACTATAAATCTGAAAAGGTAAAGGCTACATAACAAAGAAATTATTCCAATGTGTGGAATGCTCTTCTCATTTTAATTCTATACCATGTATTTCATAAAATCAACCTATTAGAAGTTATACTTCTAATTGTATTTGGCTATACAGTCAATTCAAAGATGGATTATTTGTGCTAGATGGCAAGGGCTATGAGTATCTGCTCAGTTGGAACGTGGAGATTCAGATTGTTAGCAAGAATATCACTAAGTTTTCAGAATGTTATTAGTGCACAAAGCAATATATAAGTATGTATATATGTGTGTGGTATTGTGTTAAACAGCTATATTATCTAATAGAGGGAATATGCAAATTGACCGTCAGACCATCACAAAGATGGTGGTACCCATAGCCACAAGATGGCGGAACCTAGTCACCTCAGCTCAGCAAGAGTCCCCCAGGCCTGGGCCCGCTCCATAGACCTTTCACAGAAAATGGGTTGCCTCAAAAGTTGGTTAAGCTTCTTAGGAAAAAAAGAATTCAAAATCTTTGACAAGGGAATTCCAATATTTATAAAAATTTGGACTAGAAAACACAAGGTTATTTCCACTCTAACCTTCTATGATTTTGTCATGTTAACATTCTGAATTCACAGAGTACCAACTATATTGTATGTAAGCAGATATTATTTAAAGAATGGCCGTTATTATTAAAACAACTAATAAAACCACAGTGTTTGTATGTCAAGGACATTCTATGTGATTTTTCTAATGGCTGGAGTTAATGTCCCTCCACTGGCAGTCGTACATCCTCCGAGGGGCCCAGATTAGAGAGGGTACAGGCCAGGCTGAGGGACATCCCCCTTCCCCATGCACAAATTTCATGTACTAGTATAATCATATATTGTTAATAATTCAGAGCTGAGTCAATTTTAAAAGGATAAGTTATAGAATCTTTTGAACAACTTATATAAAATGCATTATAATCTACTCCCACACTGCCCACCATTACCTGTTGTACTAATGCAGGCTCTCTCATTCCAAAAATGCATTATATTTGAAATATATTTGATATATAATATATGACACAGGAAAAAATGAAATATAACTTAGGTTCAAGAATAGAAAAGAATAATTAACAAACAATTGCTTCTGATTTTAACAAGCTTCATCAAAGGTTTTTACATATTTTTAGTAGGAGAACTCTTTTTTCAGATGAAAACTTATTTTAAAAGTTTAAGATTTTATAAAATCACTAAAAGTGGAACTACTCTGGTTAGATTGGGTAGAGGAAGTCTGGAGTGCCACCTGCTTTGGGGAGCCTTCCTGGCAGCCCCAGGCAATTAGAAAACCACTGCAGAAGATTTTGAGTATAAATCATAAAATAGTCGCTGAAAATGAGACCCTACTGTAAGTATAAAAAATATAAAATTAAACTTAAAAAAATCTAACTTATTATTTACTTAGGCATATGAACCAAGTAAATAGAGTCTTTTAAATAAATAATCTATAAGAGAAATATAAAAGACAGCTTAATTTGATACTGTGGAATGTGTTCTTCCTTGTTATAAACCCTCAACCGATACTAAAACTTTATATCTTAGATTAACATTTTTATTCTGATGTCTATAAGTCCTAAATATATGTGCCACTATGAAGTAATTAACAAGGTCTTGGGATATAATTTTTAATAATGAGAATAAAAATTTTATTTATATATATCTAACCTGGACAAATATATAGTTCAAATTTTCTAATAAGGTTATTATATTCTGCTTTAATAATTACTTGTAATTTTTATGATAATTTTTCAAAAATCTGTTTTCTTAGTTTCTTTAGCTATTGAAAGGAAAACCAAAAATCCTTTACAACTCTACTACTATAACTCAAAATGAATTTGCCTCTTACTGCTGTTTGTTTTTGTAGAAGACCAAAAGCAAATTAATCGTTAACAAAGCTACAATATGATATACGAATGAGGTCTTGCATTAAAAAAGTACTTAGACTGTATTTACAAAAGAATCTCTCATTAATTATTCAACATTTGGATTTGACCAGAAACCAGAGCATGACTTTATAATGCTCTGTTTAAATGAAGTACTTAATGTTGTAATGAACAACACTCATTGTGGTAAACTCAATGAATTTTTGGACCTGTTACAATACAACAGTTTTTCCAATTTTTTGATTAATGGACATATTTTAATGTAAAGTCAGTTTAAATTTCACTTATGCTTTAAAAATGTTTACTTAAACTAAAAATTTTGCATCTCAATTATTTTACATTCTAAGCTGAATGTAGTTTAAACCAATGCATTATTCATAAAGCAAAGACATTAGGAAAAACAAAGCTGTGCACTTCTTTCAAAGCCGTTAAATTGCAAAAACATACCATATTTATGCATGCAATATTTGATTGTGTTTTTCTTAAAACACAAGCTTGTTTTTGTTAGATCAAGATATGCCAAAAATTCTACACCAATTTTTGTTTATAATTAAAGCAATCATCAATCCAAGGATTGTCATCCATTTTATTTCATCTCTACATCAAAAAAAAAGTAATCTAAAAAAATTTAAATTCCCTTGAAATGACAAGATAAATGAAAATGTAAGTGCCTTCACATAATAGCAGTAAGCTGACCCTTTGGGAAATGGTTGACTTTCTCAATACAAGGTATTCAAAGCTCATTCAAAAGTGTTCATTTGGAATGCAGATATCAAAGATGATGCAAATGTTCAAGAGAAAATTAGAACTTACCAGATGTTCTAATCCAGCTTTGATGTTTCCAGATTCCCTGAAATAGAAGAATAAAAGTTCTAAATAGTGGCTAAACCCTTGTCTGCTATAATTTATATTTACCTCAAAACTATTTTATAAACCCTTCGAAGTTTTTCATTTATCTTTACTAATAACACTATTTTAATGACAAAACAATTTTTTTTGTATTTCCACTAAATTGGTATTCCACTAACAGAAAGAATGTTTCAGATTTTCAAAGTCAATACACAACAGAAAGAAGTATATTATTATTTTACTATTAATTTACTATTTATTTCACATTAGTTTTCTCTCAGTTTGTTTTCTCAAACTTTTATTATGAAAATGTTCAAACGTACAGGTTCTATCCACAATATAGATCCTATTGACATTTCACTATATTTGCTTTTACAATATCCATCCAGCAATTAAAGAATATGCTCCTAAATAATATGTTCACAATTACATAGTTAAATAGTAAATTGTAACCAATTTTTGTTGACATTAATTTTATTAAATTAGTTCACACTACAAATCAGGATCTAAGAATAATGAAATATTAAAAACAAAGTATCACCAAAAAAAACCCCATAAACATTAAGTACCATATTTTCAATATTTAACTTCTTGCTCTTCATTGTAAACAAAACACTGCTGATGCAATTAAAAATAAAAATACCTGTGCAAGTAGCAAATATAATTTAAATATACACTTGATGAAATGTGGCAAATAGCTAAATTTTTAAATCCGATTTCAGAGTATACTAATTTATTAGTGACAAATGGTTTTTAGCTTTTCTCATCCTGATCAAGTAGTATTTTAATTCCATCATAAACACCAAGTCTTATTTTTTAAAAATATATATTTTATTGATTTTTTACGGAAAGGAAGAGAGTTAGAAACATGGATGAGAGAGAAACATCAATGAGCTGCCTCCTGCACACCCCCTCCTGGGAATGTGCCCACAACCAAGGTACATGCCCTTGATCGGAATCGAACCTGGACCTTTCAGTCCTCAGGCTGACGCTCTATCCACTGATCCAAACCAGTTTTGGCACCAAGCCTTATTTTTTAACATAAAATTATACTTCTATCACATTGCAGAAAAAATTATGTAAATTCAACAACCAAAACAGTGTTGCATTCATGATGTTGAATCTTTTCCCCATACCTTTTCTTTCACCGAAGGGTCCTTTATTTCTTTCCTCTTTATTTATTTCTTCAATTTTCTTTGCCTATATACTTCTTTGTTTCCTTTGTCTTTCTATACAATCTTTCCAAATTTCCCTATCTTTTTTTTACCTTAGAACCCATAGCTTCTAATCTTTGCTCTCACTGCCCAGTCTGACATACTAGGAATAAATTTCAACATCTACTGATTAGCAAAGCACATATCTTTAGCCATTCTCTTCTCTACATTCTGCTTCTGGCAATCTTAACCATATCATGTTTTCAATATTTAAAATGTAAGTATTTCTAAAACTCATTCTCTGAATGAAGTCCTAATGATAAATGGTAGTCATAAATTAAAAACAAGGTGTCAGAAAAGGCTGATAGCTACATAATTATTAAAAACAATGCACTTAATGGATCTGGAAGGCAAATAGAACTTCAAATTTTTCTAAGGACATTCTCATATGAACACCTGTGTAATTTGAAATATAAACAAAAGAATAATGTATATAGTGAAACATTTGACAGTACAATATGTGTATGTGCACAAAACAGTAAAATTAAGTCTTCCTTCTATCACTGATTCGCAGTTGGCTGTTTTTTTTTTTTTAAAGCTTTCCATGTTTTTTAAAATATTTTTTTATTGTTTAGAGTATTACATATAGTAGTACATATATCTCCATTTTACCCCCCCCCCATTGACCTTCCCCTAGCCTCCCCTAACCCTTGTCATGCCCTCATCCTACCCCCCAAGTGTCTTGTGTCCATTGGTTGTGCTTATATGCATGCATAAAGTCATTTGGTTGATCTCTTTACCAGCCTCCCCAACACTCCCCAGCCTTCCCGCTATAATTTGACAGTCTGTTTGGTGCTTTAATACCTCTGTATCCATCTTTTTGTTCATCAGGTTATAATGTTCTTTACTTTCCATAAATAAGTGAGATCATGTGGTATTTTTCTTTCATTGCCTGGCTTATTTCACTTAATATAATGCTTTTCAGGTCCATCTATGCTGCTGCAAATGGTAATAATTCTTTCTTTGTAATAGCAGCATGGTATTCCATTGTATAGATATACCTCTGTTTTCTAATCCACTTATCTGCTGATGAGAATTTATGCTGTTTTCAAATCTTAGCTATGGTGAATTGTGCTGCTATGAACATAGAGGTGCATATATCCTTTCTGATTGAAGTTTCTAGTTCCCTGGGATATAATCCTAGAAGTAGGATTTCTGAGTCAAATGGGAGTTCCATTTTTAAGTTTTTTGAGGAAACTCCATACTGTTCTCCACAATGGCTGCACCAGTCTGCATTCCCACTAGCAGTGCACGAGGATTCCTTTTTCTCCACATCCTCGCCAGCACTTGTCCTTTATTGATTTGTTGATGATTGCCATTCTGACATGTGTGAGATGGTACCACGTTGTTTTGATTTGCATCTTTGGGATAATTAGTGACTTTGAGCATGTTTTCATGTGCCTCTTGGCCTTCCTTCCATCTTCTTTTGAAAAGATTCTATTTAGGTCCATTGACCATTTTTTAATTGGATTATTTATCTTCCTTCTATTAAGTTGTATAAGCTGCCTGTAGATGTTGGTGATTAAACCTTTATCAGTGATAACATTTGCAAATATATTCTCTAATATAGTGGGCTTTCTTGTTGTTTTGTTGATGGTTTCTTTGGTTGTGAAAAAACTTTTTATTTTGATGTAGTGCTATTTGCTTATTTTCTCTTTATTTTCCATTGCCCTAGGAATGGTATTGGTGAAGAAATTGCTTCAGGATATGTCTGAGATTTCTCTGCCTTTGGATTCTTCTAGTATTTTTATGGTTTCCCATCTTATGTTTAATTCCTTTATCCATTATGAGTTTATTTTTGTGTATGGTGTAAGTTGGTGATCTAGTTTCATCTTTTTGCATGTATCTGTCCAATTTTCCCAACATTTTTTTATTGAAGAGACTCTCTTGACTCCACTGTATGTTCATGCCTCCTTTGTCAATATTAATTGAGCATAGTGGTTTGGGTCGATATCTGGGTTCTCTATTCCATTTCATTGGTCTATATGTCTGTTCTTGTGCCAATACCAGGCTGTTTTGAGAACCATGGCCTTGTAATACAGCTTGAAATATGGTCAAAACTTTGTTCTTCTTTCTCAGGATTGCTGTGGCTATTCCAGATCTTTTTAATTGAAGATGAATTTTTGGAGAGTTCTTTCTAAGTCTGTGAAAAATGCTATTGGTATTTAAATGGGGAGTGCATTGAATCTATAGATTGCTTTGAGTAGTATGGACATTTTAATGATGTTCATTCTACCAATCCATGAACATGGTATGTTCTTCCATCTATTTACTTCTTCATCTAACTCTTTCTTCAGTGTCCTATAGTTTTCCAGGTATAGGTCTTTTACCTCCTTAGTTAAGTTTATTCCTAGATATCTTAATTTTTTTTCTTTTGGTACAAGGGTAAATGGGAATGCTTTTTTAGTCTCTCTTTCTGTAACTTCATATTGGTGTATAGAAATGCCATAGATTTCTTGGCATTAATTTTGTATCCTCCTACATTGCCGAATTCATTTAAGTCTAATAGGTGTGTTTTTTTTTAATGAAGTCTTTCAGTTTTTTTATGTACAATATCATATCATTTGCAAATAAGGACAGCTTTACTTCTTCTCTTCCAATTTGGATGTCTTTTATTTCTGCTTCTTGTCCAATTGCAATGGCTAATACTTCCAGTATTATGTTGAACAGGAGTGGTGAGAGTGGGCATCCCTGTCTTGTTCATGTTCTTAGAGAGAATGGTTTTAGTTTCTGCCCATTGAGTATGATGTTGGCTGTTAGTTTATCATATATGGCTTTTATGATACAGAGGTATGATCCCATCTTGCTGAGAGTTTTGATTAAGAAAGAGCATTGGATTTTGTCAAATGCTTTTTCTGCATCAATTATTATGACTACCGTATTTTCCGGGGTCTAAGACGACCCCCTAATTTTACAGTTAAAACATAGGTTTAGGCCTATATTCGCTGTATAAGACTACCCCCACTTCCGAGGCAACACCAGTTCTTTTTTTAATAGACCACCTCTCTGACTCTGGCCAATCTGAGCAGGCTTTTTACTAGAATACAGTGTAGCTTCCACTTTTCCTTTAAGATGGTGTGGTCTCTGTGTCCAAGCTGGTTGCTCTGGGAGGGGACCCAGTAGTAGTGGGGGCTTCCCGGTCAAGGGAGCCCCATCTGACAGTAACCCACAGTCTCCTGAAGTATAGATGTCCCTCAGCTCACCAACAAACACTTTCCATGCGACCACACACTCTCCCCTTGTTTTCTCACTCAGACACTATCTTGCAGTCTGCTTTCCCTTTGGCAGCCATCTTCCTCCTCCTGACTCCCAGTTCTCAATCTCAATCACTATTATTACCTCTTTGTTAGTCTTTGTAACGATATTCTATTTGCATATACATGTGTATTTCTTCCTTCGCATTAAAAAAAAAAAAATTTTTTTTTAATTAAACCCAAACAGAAACATAGTATAAGCACTGTTTTTGGTACCATCACTTGGCAATCTATCTTAGAATCTGTTCTATATAATACACATCTACATCATTTCTCCCCCCTGGTTACATTGTCACATAATGGTTCTTATTAGAAAATAATATTAGAATATAAAAATACCAAAAATATTCAGATTCAAAGTACAAGTTCTTAATTCATTATCTGAAACCACTGGGGCTAGACATGCTTCATGAGAATAGTTGGGAGCTTAGAAAGGTAATAAAGTATATACACTACATGCCATGCAATGCTGACAGCATGCTCGAGGCAGCATCTCATCATCATACACATTAATTCTAAAAGAAACATGAATA